AAAGCATCACACAATTGAAATTTCAAACAAGAATGATGAAGGACACACTAGGGCACTACCGAGTCAAACCAGGTAAAGGAGGGCAGGGTGAGAGGAATAAAGCCAGAAACGAAGGTGAAGGCCAGATTCTGATAGGCTTTGAATTCCATGCTAAGAAGCTGGAACTTAATGTGGTAGAAAATCAGTGATCCATTTAAGAATTTTAAGCAGGGAACATAACTGGATCCAATTTGTGCTTCTGAAGGGCCACTGCAGTGGCTCAGTGGGGGATGAACTGGAGGAAACTTATGACAGGCAAAGCAGCAAGCTGCCCCCACAGGTGAGGGGAGCAGGGTGAAGAGTGTCAGGGGGGGAGAAGGAGGAGCTAATCTTCAGTTGGGTGGACAAGTCCCGGTGACCGGATGGAAGCGAGGAGCAGGAGAAAAGGACGTCTCCAAGGAAGCCAGCTGGGGACCCCAATGAAGGTCTGCTGTGGGGTCGGGGTTTCTGCCCCCAGCCTCCCTTCAGGGACTGCATCGTGGAGATTAATTCACAGTCAAGTTACTTTCTGATGAAGGTTACTACAGATACATCAGCGTGACAGGTGGGGCGTGGGGAAGAAGCCTCGGCGTGTTTGAGTCGGAGCTGAATATTAGATTCTAGTCACTATTTGATTGATCTTTTAAGCAATTCTGGGATTCTGTCACTTAAAAACCAATAAATCTTTGAAGGCCTGGGGAAAGCAATGCAAAAGCAATAAATCTCCATTGTGGAGTCTTAGAAAAATAGGCCAAGCTGCCGAGGTGGTTTGGCTGGAGGGATGAGGGTACAGGAGCCCCACAAAGCGACATTCCCTCCTGGCCTCTCTGGACACACAGACTGAATCACACCTACAGGGCTTCAAAGGGGCAGCAAGGGGTGGAGTAGATGCCGGAACTGGGCTCAGCCAGAGCCTGAGCACAGCTTACCTGAGAGGATCTGGAGACAGAGGCTTAAGAAGAGTCTGAACCTGTTTGAGAATGGGCAGTTCCCCTCAGAGAGAGAGGTGCTGGGTCCACATGCCACAGGCTGGACCCACACAATCCAGAGCTGGAGGGCCCCTGAGATATTGTCTTGTCTATTCCTCATTCCCTAACTGATGGAGGTTTACTCCATAGCATCCCCATGTGAAGGTGACCCAGTCATCACTGGATAATTCAGGCATGGGGAACTCAGAGCCTCCTGGGGCACAATAAACTCAGAGGGAGGAAGCTAGGTCCATGTTTTGGGTGCATGTAACAAATCCCATGACCTTGGGACTTCACCTCCCTCTGCTGAAGCAGATGGTATTTCCCAGTGAGCTTATGCTCTGGCTGCGTGACGACCAGATGATACAAAGGTAGGTAAGGAACTATCAACTAAAAAAGTAGGATCCCAGACATGCTTGACCCAATTCCTGGGTCACCTGCTGAGCAATCTGTGCCCTGCCACTATAATGTGCCTTGGTGACCTCATAGTGGTCCTGCTTCCCCCAGGACTCCACATTGACCCGAGGTTGTACTCAGTTTCTCTCTAATCAGCCAATCCTTCTCTCAATCAATACAGTCACTGTCCTTACTATCTTACTTTGCCAGTTTCATTATTTTGCCAACCTCCCTGCCCCACCCACATGAGCAATTCCTGGATGATAAGCCTCAAAAGGACCGGAGAGTCTCTTGTTTCCTGCTATTTCTCCATTGCCTCGCTAGTTCTCAAGCATAGCAAGTGCTCAATAAATATTTGTCAAATGATCTAATATTCCATATTTCCCAAACCAGCATCCAGAATTCAAGATGGAAAAGGGTGGAAGTAGCTGAGATCTATTGACATTGCCACTGTCATTGCAGTTGTCCTGAAAGCATTGTTTGGGTGACATTGGTTATTCCCTTCCCCTTCTTGGCAAATGTCCAAGCAGCAGCCTGAAAATAATTCCAGACACTGAGTGTATATCCTCCATCAGTGATCCAGAGTCTGGGAAGAAAAGCAGCCAGACATTTCTAGACACCAAGCCTTGCCCTCTGAGCAGTGACATTTGTTTAAATCTTTTTTCCAATGGAAATGTCACCCAAATATATCACACACAACTTTCTCCTAGGGAGGTGGTGTGGTCTGATGAAATGAGGGTTGGTGTAAGGTCAGCTGACTGAGTTTAAATTCTGCCTGTACCGCTTCCTTATTTCGGGGCCTGGGTCAACTCAATTAGCTTCTGTTTATCTCAGTTTCTATATATGCAAAATGGGGAGACTATTATTGTAATGCTGTGAGGGTACAGCGAGTTTATGTACAGTGACAGGCACACAGCAGGGACGAGCTCATTAAGTGGAAGCTAGCAGGCTTTTGACCTGAAGACATGGACCAAATGTCATATTTGGTGGCGGGGTGGGAGAGCAGGAACACGTGCTGAATGCCATGACTGTGAGGGGCTGGGGCATCAGACTGCCTTGTTTCTGGAATTCTTGTGTCTGTTTTATAGAGTTGTCCTACTTTTTGCTCCTTGTCAACTGTCATCTCTCACTGCTACTGGGGCATTTCCATTCTCACCTTCGAATCTACTGTCATCTTTGGCTGCTTAAGCTTATTAAACAGATATGCAAATTAAGATTATGTGGGCTCCGTGGGAACATGCGAGGGGTTTTCTCTTTATGGGAACTGAAAAGACTTCCCAAGAACATTGGTTTGGGCTGCTCAGAAGACCCGTGGCTGGTTGGTTGTGTGACCTTAATGTTTAGTTTCCTCAAACAAAGAGATGATATTGCTACTCACTGGTTATTTGAAGTCACATTCTTGGAACATAGTATTTGTCCATTAAAACATGGTGATAATTACTCTCATTTGATTCTGCTGGCTTCCATGAGTTACCCTTTCTGTTGCCCCTCAGCAGCCAGATGACTGTGAGCAGCTGGACTAAATCTACTCTGTAAAGGTGACCTTGCCAGAAGACCATTTCTAGACCTCCAACCCCACCAAATAAATATGCCCTAGGTGTGTTCCAGAAGTTTCTCCCTTGCTCTGTTCAGGTCACCGTCACCATGTTCCCTCTGAACCAGTCCTAATATCCCATGAGGCCCCTGGCTCAATGGCTTCTCTGCACCAGGCTTAGAGCTGCTCAACCTCCTTTCAGGAAGCCCTACTCCTGGCCAGTGTCGCCTGTGGCATTGCCAGAGGCCTGATTCAACTGGAGGCAGGACAGTGCAGAGAAGGAAAACTGCACATTCCAAGTGACGAACCCTCCTTACCTGACGGGGGCTCCCCGCGACTGAGCAGGCTTCAGCATTACCGTGATGGTCGTGTCGGTTTCATTCAGCGGGGTGTCTGTGTCATATTCAGGCATCGATGGAGCTGAGCACGGGACAAAGAGAGAAAGTGAGCTCAGCGCAGGCCCCAAACCCACTCACCACCTCCCCTGATGGCATCCTCCCCTGAAGACACTCAAGATGCCTAGGAGCAGCCTCCCTGCTGGTGCAAGGGGTTAAGATGCAGCACTTGAAGCTGTCCACAGCCACTACAGCACGAGTTCAATCCCTGACCAGGGAGAAACCCACATGGCGCAGCAGACCTCTCCTGACTTGCCTGCTGCTCCCCTCAGCAGTGCATTTCAGGAGAGCTGCCTGTTCTGCTCCCCACTCTGTCTCTGGTGAATCCTTTCACCCCCCACACCTCTGGCCTATACCCCAGCTTTTGTATGCATAAGTAAATATTAAAAAAAAAAAGATGGCTAGGAAGAGGGGGCTTGGGGAAGGGGAGGTGAGCATCACATGACATTCTAGACTTCCAGCGAAGGAGACCCTGACTTCCCACCCACCCACGGGCTCTTTCTCTGTGCAGGAGAGCTGCAGCAAACGAGGCCAGAAACCCTCATGAATCAAAAAGTTCCATACCCACTGAATCAACAAAGAAAACATAGCTTTAAGTACTTAAAGCTGTGGATGCTGAGTCAACCGTGGCAAGCACATGTCAATGTCCAGTTAGAGCAGTGATGAACTAGGTCCTCTTTTGTTTTTCTTTTTTTCTTTTTTCATGAGACCCTCCCTTCTCTCATCCCCAGTGGACTGGGATAGCAGTGTGTCTTAATCTTATCACTGGGGAAGGTCACTAGAACCATTTGAGCCATTGAATACTGGGAGTTATTAAAATCCACATCCATTTTAATTCAATATTTCAATTCTGGAATTTAAGCCTAAAGTTATAATCCAAAGTAAAGAATCAAACTTTATTCTATAACATTGTTTATTGAAGCATTATCTTCTGAGAACATAGAAGCACCAAATATATCCAACCACAAGGGGATGTTTAATTAAATTACATCCAACCCCTTGACAGAACATTATAATGAAAGTAATATAATGAAAGCATGGGGAATGTTTACGGTATCAGGACAAATGAAAACATTAAGCTACAAATATCATCATGAGTATATATGCAAATATGTATGTATGCAGACCAGAATCACACAGGTTTCCAAAAATATATAAATTTTTAAAAGGGTTCTGAAATAATTCTGTCTTGATGTTGAAGTGGATTGTGGAGAGGGTTCTACTGGTGATAATAGGTAAAATTTTGGAATGACATGGTTCAGTAACATCCATTTGTTCATTCATCAGACACTTAATGAGACTGTGCTGTGCCTTGCACTGCCAAGAGGAATATTCACTAAAATAAATCACATTTTTAAAAATCAATTTGCATGAAAAAATTACACTACTTAATGCAACTGTCTCTGGTTTAGTTTAATTAAGGTATTTTTTACACTTTAGGAAATTCATGGGTTAGGCCTTCTTCAAGAGGCTACAAGAGTAATATCCCTGGGCCCACCTCACCCTAATTGCTCAGCACCACACCGTGACAACTGCCTTTGCCTTCTTCACTTCCAGGAAAAATAGGAATGGGAGGTAACAAAAATACCCTCTTCTTTTGCACTTTTTAGAGAGATACCTGAAATTTTGGTGGCAATCCTAGTGGTGACGGGGGGTCCAAAGCCCTTTGCTGTGCTGGCCTTGATGGTGAAGGAGTAGGTGGTCCCTGGGTACAGACCCACAAAGAGGTGGTGGGTTTCATTCCGGAGTTTGAACACTTTCCCCCTCTGGCTGGACAGATCGGCACTTGGGTCCAGGGAGCCAACAGCCTTGTAGTTGATCTGCAGAACAAGACAACAAAGTAGTAGTTACCTTACCCAGGGGGCTGGATGAAGCTCATTGGGGGACACATGGGGAGGCACATGACAGAGGGCATGTGAGCTCAACCAGCAAGTTCTGCTTCTGCTGTGTACCTTACACATGATCCCAACCTCCAGGATTCAACTGCTGATGCCCTGGGGCATCAGTGTGCAATAGAAGCACAATTTGAGCCATAGCCAGACTTTTCAAGTTTCTAGTAGTCACATTGAAAGAAATAAGTAAAATTAATTTTAATATCTTATTAAACCCCAAATATGTAAAATATTTTTTCAATGTATGCTCAACAACAAAAAAAATGGATGAGAAGTTTCATATTATATTATTCATGTTAAGAGAAATCTCTTATGCATTTCACCCTTATAGCACATCTCTTCTCAAGTCAGTCACTATCCAAAAGTGTAACAACCCAGTGTGGCTAGTGACTACTATGCTGGCCAGTGTCTTTGTAGAGCAGCACCCAAGGGTACCATTTCAGTAAGAATTATTTAGGGGCCTCCCTGGTGGCATAAGGGGTTAAGCATCTGCACTATGAAGCTATCGGCAGCCACTGCAGCGCAAGTACGATCTCCGGCCAGGGAGCTACCCACATGGCACAGCAGACCTCTCCTGTCTTGCCCACTGCTCCCCTCAGCAGTGTATTTCAGTCTGCCTGTTCTGTTCCCCACTCTGCCTCTGGCGAATCCTCTCACTTCCCTGCACCTCTGGCTTACACTTCAGTTCTTATATGCATAAATAAATAAATCTTTAAAAAAGGAATTATTTAGAAGGCTGGTTATGAATGCAGCCCATGGCTCCCCTACTCCACATGAAGGGCATTTGTTGTCTGATGGCTCATGCATTAATTGCTAGTCTTTCCTCCAAATCTTGGGATAGCAGGACAGTTATTTTCATGGTAGAGAAACTAAGGTTCAACTGGAAGCAACTTGCATTAAATCAGTGCTTTTCAAACTATTTATAATGATGAGAAACAGGGTTGTGTTTCCCAACCCACTGCAGACCCAGCATAATCCAAAGATTGCATTGCATGGCTCATTATGTGAGCATGGCAATAACCAAGCTGGTCTATACTCTGCCACGAGACACACCCACCCATCAAGTCACTGTTGACATTTTGAAGGGTTCCCCCTCAATTTCTGCGTTCTTCCTCCTCTGGAAGTAACAAAACATTTGGCATCCTAGCACCAGCCCCCTACATCCTACTTTGAGTATTGCATTCCTAAATTACACAACTGTTAAAGCAGCAAGCGTAGGATTTTTTCCTTATCTAGTTTGTTGCATTAAAACTGTTTTATTAGAGGATAATATACATACACAAAACAATTCAATGAATTTTAAACTAATTGGAATCAGTCTTTAACCAGCACCCAATCAATTGCAGACCCAAGACTTGCTCTGCCAACCCCCTTCCAGTGTCTAACTACCTCCTTGTACTAAGGACAAGTTCTGTCCTGACTTCTAACAGCACAGACCAGTTTTTACCTGGTTTTGAACTTGGTATAAATGGAATCATATAGAGTGTACTCTGTAGTGTCTGATTTCTTTCCTCAACATGATGTTTGTGAGATTAATGCTGGCAGTTGTAACTGTTCATTCCTATGGTTAGTCTGTCACTGACACAGGACAGAACCCAGGCCTGCCAGACTCTAACACTTATGCCCTTTAGTCTCATGGACCCCCTCACCTGGAGGCACACTTCACTAATTGAAGAATGCATTCATTCATTCACTTATTTGCTCCATCATGGATGTTCCCTGCTATCATATATATTAATATAGTAATGATCTGGGCAGACTGAGCTGCTAAGGGCATTGGCATTGTAATGACCCTGACTGATGGGAAGGGAGGGGCACCTGCAATAGAAGTAAGTTATCAACTACTGGTTTATGAAGACATTGATAAACAGAAGCCAAGGACAGATAAAACCTGGCTATGTGGAGAGGCACCACCTAAGAAAATTAACAGGTCATACAGATAAGATGCTGAAAAGTGGTATAAATATAGGCACCAAGTTGGGGCAATTTGGGATACTTCTGGACTCTGCCTGTGGTCCTGAAGTTCCTCCAGAGTTGGGTGAGAGCTGCTGGGGACTCTGGCCCTATGAAGTGGCATCGCTGCCTCCTCCTTGCAGGATTGATAACTGCAGCTCTCCAGACCCAGTCCCGCCATTCTGCATTAACCAGCACCCAATCAATTCCAGAGGGTGGTTTGGCCAACAGGTTGGTTACATTTGGCCAACAGGTTGGTTACCTCCCCCCTTTGATTGTGACACTTATATTATATGTCTATAGTATTGCAATGTGGATTCCCCCAATAAATTCATATTGTAGTTCTATACATCTGAGTTGAGTTGTAAGTGAAACCTCCCTGCTTCGAGGTGGTGAGTGTTCTAGAAATCCCAAACCTGGGAAGACACCCGCACATGCCAATATGCTAGGCCCTAGTGTGCTGCTGGGTGCCCCAAATGGAGGCCAGAGAGACCCTGCCCTCCAGGGCCTTGCAGAGCGAGGCAGTCCACTATCCAGGCAGCGTACGTCACTGTCTACCATCAGAAGGTCCCATACTTGAGAGGAAGGCCAAACCCAGGCAGAAAGGAGAGCACAGAGCTCTACTTTAAAAAAAAAATAATGCTGGGGCCTCCCCGGTTGAGTGCAGGGTTGAGCGCAGGGTTGCGAAGTTGCCTGCAGCCTCTGCAGCGCGGGTTCGATTCCCGGCTGCTCCCAGGCCACCGGAGGAGGGTCCCACATGGCGCGCAGACCTCTCCTGCCGCCCGCTGCTCCCCTCAGCAGTGTACTTCGGTCCTTCTGCCTGCTCTGCTCCCCGCTCTGGCTCTGGTGAATTCTCTCACCCTCCCAGCTTCTGACTGTGCCCAGTGCTTGTATAAATAAATAAATAAATAAATCTTTAAAAAAAAATAATAATGCTATCTTCTGTTGTGGGCACCTAATGTTTTGGCGAAAGAGGTTACTTCTCTTCCCTGTATTAAATAGTAGCTGTGTCGGACTATGCCATGAGTCAAGGAGAGAGACCAAAGTTTGCCGGGAGCAGAGTGTCAGGAGAAACACGGTGGTGCATGACCTGGGCAGAGGCACCCACCAGGCCTGTCCCTGAAGGGGTCCTCTCTGGTCACTCTCACCACCAACCCCCCAGCCTTTCTCTGAGCCAAGTCCATAAACACCCACCTGTTTTTGCTTGAGGGCTCTTGTCATGGGTGCTCCAGGGAGTGCTGGGTGATTAATACTCCCAGTGGCTGGACTAGGGGGCTTGAGTTCTCGGGGGTCCTCTCACCTGATACCCCTGGGTAGTGCCAGCAAGGCACAGAGCAGGTTTTCTATGATCCAAGCAGATAAGAAAAGGAGATTCTTGGAGTCCTTGGGGGCTTTTTCCAGCTTTTATGGTCTTTCTGCGCCATTTGCCGTGAGGCAACCAGGCGCAGGGCAGGCAGGGAGGCCGGGGGGAGGAGGCTGGCAGGCCTTCCAACCCCCAGCGAATCTTCACTCTTTCTGGGCTCTCAGGCTTCTCTTGTGGCCTCTTCCCTGGTCTCTACTGCACCCCGCCACACGGTCCTCCACCGCCACGCTCTGCTCTCGGCTGCTTCTGAGACGCCGCCCTTATATAGGGTCGGTCTCTCGACTCAGGTGTGCCCAATCACGCATGCCCACACCACACTCCAGGGGCCGCCACCAAGCATGTGTGTAAGACCACAGGTGTCAGTTATTGATGCTAATGGCAGGAGGGCGGAAAAAATCTGCTCACTTCCATTTACCCTACACCCCGCGACATCACAGTGAATTTCCCTGGCGGATTCAGTGTCCCTTGCCTCCAAAACTCCCCCATCCCTGGCACACTTCCTTTTTCTTCCCCAGACCTTAACTTGTTACAGGTGTTTGCTGAATTTCTCAATGATCTACTAGTGTCCGAAGCCCTGTCTCAAGGTCAGCATCTGAGAAACGTCAAATTTAGAACAAGTGCTCAGGGAGGCACCTGGGAGAACTGAACTAGCACCTGAGGACTAGATGGAGTCAGAGCAAAGTGGGCTCCAGGCAGAGAGAACTGTCTGGGAGAAGGCCTGGAGGCGGGAAAAGGCTTGCAAGAACTGAGGGTGAGCAAACGGAGACAGCCCAGATTTGGGTGCAGAAAGGAGAAATCTAGAGAGCTCTGCTGGTAACAACTAACCCTCGTCTACCAGTGAAGACAGGCTTCTGCATCCTTTTGAAATTCTGCTCCAGTGCCCCGGCCTAGGCTGGTGGCAACTACATTGATATACAGACACTGGGAGGTAAAACTCATACCTTATTTACTAGCCAATTCCTTCCCTGTGCTCCAAATTCAATCCAAAAGCGACTCAATTTCCACCGAGCTGTCAATATAATATACCGTGCTCCCCTGCTCTCCTAACCTTTCCTGGTATTACAGGATCCTCACTTACTTGTAATGAAACACTATGAATAAATCAATGTATGTTAATATAGCGTGTCTTCAATTTTTTATGAAGGGCTTCACCAGATCTAATTCCCACTGCTTTGTCAGAAACAGCCTTTGAAAAATTTAACTTGCAAGTTTCACGAAGTTAGTGGGGAACAGGACTGGGGAAGGAGAGACGGAAGGTGAGAAAAATAGAAGGGATGGAGCTGTGGTCATAAAATACATAATGCAAGGTGAATCTTCATTTGGAAGTGGGGGAAGAGGAAGATTTGCTAGCATAGCAGACAGAATAAAGAGTTAGTGGGGGGGCCTCCCCGGTGGCGCAGCGGTTGAGCGCTGGGTTGTGAAGCTTCCCGTAGGTTCCGCAGCGCCGGTTCGATCCCCAGCCGCCGGCGAGGGTCCTACATGGCACGCAGACCTCTCCTGCCACCTGCTGCTCCCCTCAGCAGTGTCCTCCTTCTGTCTGCCTGTTCTGCTCCCCGCTCTGGCTCTGGTGAATTCTCTCACCCTCCTGCACTTCTGACTGTAGCCAGTACTA